GGGTGAAGATGCGATAGAATATACTTATATCAAGTTTGACGGAACACTGTTCTGGGACTCAATGACAATATTTCAACACGAGTTCCCTGGGCGTCAGAGTAGTTTAAATTACATGCTTGATACTCTAGAGATCCCTTCCAAGATCAGGTTGAGTTACAGACGTATAGATGAGATTGTACTGCTTGTTATTGAAACGGCCAAGATTCAAGATGAGATAACCAAATTAAATATTGATTCGATGGATTACCATAATAAGATCGAAGAACTTAATTCAAGGCAAGATAAAGTTATCAATAACTTACATGGAGAAGAGGGAGTTGAAAAACTTTGTACAGACATCCTTGAATATTGTTTCTACGATTCATGGGCAGTCCTATTGAGCATAATTAAGATGAAAAAACTGGTTTCATACCGATTAGATGCGATGATTTATAACTGTGAATACGCACAACCATTCGTGGTGGTAAAACAAGCATGCTGAATTGTCTTATAGCTAAGGAGTATAATAAAGAACATAATGACAAGCCGGTATCGTATGATATCAAAGATAAGAAGAAATTTCAAGGTGCGGAGGTAATCGACCCAGAGACCGGGTATTACATGGATCCTATTTATGTACTTGATTTTGCAAGTTTGTACCTGTCAATAATGCGTGAATATAATATGGGACCCGATACCTTAGGTATGAAAAGCCCAATGAGAAACATCAAGTAGTACATCTCATAGACAATAATGTGGAAACAAATCAGGATATATACTTTATCCATGAGCATACCCAAGAAAGCATCATACGGAGCATTCTCACGGATCTGATAAAAAAGAGAAAAGAAGCCAAGAAAGAGCGTGACAAGTATATTGGAATTAATGATGTGATGAATAATATACTAGAACAGAAACAACTTGCGTATAAATCATCGGCAAATGCATTATACGGAGGCCTAGGTTCACCGTAACTCGGTATTGCTGTACCAGTGATATCACAGTATGTGACCTTTGTTGCTCGGGAACTGATAAAAACTTTAAAAAAATTTATAGAATCGTATCACACTGGGGAATATAGAGATGACCAGAACGTGATCT